ATATATATATTTTCCTTTAAAGTTTAAGTTTCCTTTTTGTTTCACTCTCTTTTTTGTAGATGTTAATTCATATAATATTTGCAATAATGGCAATAAAATTATTATTAGTGATCGTTTAATTTCGTCCTGAAGATTTTTCTTCATTTTCTTATTGCGAACATTACTACAGTTTCGATTAATTTTACAAAATTCACTTGCCCACAATTATAGTTGGTTAGAAGAGTTCCGGTTTTGGCAATCCAGAAAGTCAATCATCGCTGTTGCTGCTAACATTGTAAGGAAAGACTGTTAGTACGGTAGTATTCGATGATTTGATATCAACCGCTGATAACACGGACAGTCCACTTGTTTCTATTGCATGCTAAAGCCTCCATAAGCTGGATCTTCGTGTTGCTGATCCCGATCCTAGCGTGCATATACATAACGATTTCATTAGGATCAATAATAATTTCAATTAGCTACTTTTATGTAAAATAATTATCGAGCGTACGTAGTGTTATGTGATCAATGCTAAATTTTGTACTAAAATACTGTTGATGAATTTAAATGTTTAAGTGGGTGAGTAAAAAGTAACAAATTTTTAATTTTTTGTAAAAATATTAGTGGAGAACGCAGTGGTACCGGCTTGTGTTTAACGACATCCTCCTTTATCTATGATTGTACCGACCAGCATGAGAAATGGCCACCATCTCTATGGGCAAGGAACCTCTTCGTTTGACGAGCGGTTCAGGAATTGAGTCCTTTTTTCCTAGTTCCCTCTTCCATTTAAGCCATGTGCCATTATCGTTTCCATCTGTGGATCCTCCAGAAAACATTTCTGGTCCTCCAGAACTCCTTCTCCTCAATATCTTTTTCCGATTACGAGGCTTACCATTTATGCTACTCCTATTGAACATATCACGGCGTAATTCAGATATGTCTGCCGGCACTGAACCTCGCCGCGGAGATGGCATGCCGGGGCCGATGCTATGAACTATTCTCGCTATTCCGTTATTGTTGCTACTTCCGGTATTATTGTTATTATTATTATTATTTATTGGGAGATTCTCTCGTTCATCTAGAAACATGCAGCTAGCGGTAACAAACTTCAAGCAAAAACTTGTTATTCACAATATTAATATGTAGCACATGTACATACTAGTTAAAGACAAAATATTGCCAAGAAGATTTCCAAGAGCAGTTTCTTGTGGAAGACTTGCTCTTCGAGGTGCTGCAACATTACCCTCTCGAGGTCCCAAGGCTAATCTATTAAAACCGCCACCTGAAAATGGAATAAATATTAGTGTGATATTGATTACAGATATTTTTTCTATTACAGATAGTTTAAAGATATTATTGTTGTCTTACCTTGTTGTCTAGTAATGTCACCTGGTACAGAACCACGTCTGGAAGTGTGATCAACTCTGGTTGTTATAGATGGTACTGCGATGTCATCCAATCTAGATAGAAGACCAACTGGAGCAGATCCACGCCGTCTAGTCCATGACTAAATAATTAAAAATACATTTTAATTATAACTGTTGCTTATTCAGGATGAAATAATCTGATTATGTAATATAATTCTGTGACACTATTTCAAAGTCTACAAAGTTGCAACTATTTCTTTATTGCAATTTATCAATACTCTATTTATTAATGAATAATATTTATTGACTCAAATTTATTGTTTTTAAACAAATAATTTAAAATAAGTTAATTTTGGACGCTGAGAAAAAAACATGTGAAGAAATTTTACCTGACTTCCCTTCCTAGATAAAGCAATTCCTTTTGTATCTTCTATCGCTCGGGGATCAACATTTTCCTTCATCTGCATATCCATACTTAATTTGGCTATCTTAGAATTTCTTTCTTTCATCGGATCCGAGTCTCGCTTATTACTAGTAGAAACAATCTCGTTATTCATATCTCCTCTTCGCGAATCGCTACCACTATCGCTTGATGAGGACACGCTCTGAACAAAGGGCGGTGAGTCTGGTGGGCTACCAATAAAGAACACTTTATGTGTACTAAGTTCGGAGGACACTGGTATCGCGGTAAATCGTCTACCACCGGCATCAGTCGTTATTGTCTTAGTTTCTGGCACAGGAGTTGAGTATCTTCGTAATTCGGAGTTGGTACACTTTGGTTTTGTAGCAATGGTTATTGAACCACATTGTTCCGATTTGTTTAAGAACGTCGTAGCTACCGTCGTAGTCCGTTGTTCCTCGCTTATCGATTTTTCACTTTCCAATTTTGTTTTCAAGATGGAAGTGGTATCCAACTTAGATTCCTCTTCAATACTATGACCATCTTTGTCGGAACGTGAAACAGTTAACGGCGCGTAGAAGATATGCATGGAATCCGTTCCTTGAGCAGAAGTTGGTCGCTTATAACGATTTTTAAAGCTGAAATCTTCTATACGGATCGTTTGGACCGAATGACGTCGTGGATATTCGATAGCTGATATTGGTTCTGTTTTCTGCCTAAATGTTTCCGAAATTGCAGAAGCTCGTCTCCTATTTAGTATATCTACGTCTTTTGACAATTGAACGTTACTAGAGTCTATATCCTTTGTTGGAGGAGTACCGCAACGGCCATCTGAGCACGATTTTTCTTTTAGCGAACATGAGGAAGAAGCCGAGCTCTCTGCCTCTATTAAGTTTTGTGAGTAACATTGCGACATCTCCGCGGTCGTAGATAGATACCTTGTTCTAACGTACGGTTGTAATGGAGGGAAAGTCTGTTGCCTCGTTAGCTGTTTTGTCTGCGTACTTGGCTGTTGAGCATCCGATTGTAATACCGTGCTTAACCTCGTTGCCTCAGTGCTATTGGTGATACTAGCTATACTGGTTTCTGGCAGAAGACTTTCAGCACTGACTGGTCTCTCTCCTGTATTGTTGGCACTCGGGGAAAGTTCCGGTATACTGGTTTTGGACGACAGTAAAGACAACGAACTTGGATCTAGAAAACTCTGATCGTCCAGTTTCCACAAAAGATTTCTCGATTTGCTCTGTTCACTCGGCAAACTTTCACGCCTAACGTTACTTCGTGGAAGAAGGGTTAAAGGTTTCGTGATACTCAATGGTACAGAATGGCGTCTTCCAACGTGTTCCAGGCCAACTCGTGCCGGTAGACTCTGCATTTTAGAGGACTGAACATATGCAGCTGGTATAAGCAGACTGATATTTTCTGTATCTTCTTCTGCAGTTGGATCTTCCACAGAACTGATTGCGTCTTCTATTTCTTCCAATTCTGAGATCTCCGTTTCTGTTTCCTTCGCCGTTTCTTGGAGAATTAAAGTCTCCCATTTCTTCTGATTTGCTCGAAGGTGTTCCATTAACGATACACTAAGACCATCGCCCAGGAAACGATGCCATTCTTCGTACAGAGGCGATACGACAAATTTAAAGAATCCAGCCTGTATCTTTGGTATGCTAGTGGTATGCCGATCGCATAATGGTGTCACCTGAAGGTTCAGACGACGTTCGTAATCACCTTGACGAAAGAATTCTTCGCATACTTTGTGCGACCACTTCTGCGAGATGTCCCAAGGTCTGCATGGGTTCGATATATCGGCGCATTTCAGGGCTATTTGTAGAATGAAATGTCGATCATCTGCGCGCCTCATTTCCAACAGGTTTTCGTCCAAGTAGTGCTAGAAAAGAAATAAGATCTTTCTTTCTCTCTTTCTCTAAAGGATTTCTTCAGTTTCTATGACATACAGTTTTGCATACTTATATCTACAGATAAGAAGATATTAGATATTAATACTGTTACAGTGTACAAACTGTTTCTAATAAAAACAATACATTACATGTTTGAAGATAATTTGCTGAATTGAAAAAATTGCTTTTGTTAATTTCCTGTATGACGAGAATAAAAATTGTTTCATTATTCTCAGATGCAAAATAATATCTAGTAACGATAGATTAAATAAAATTCCTTTTCGAAAATTTACTTTTTAAAGACATTTACTTTACCGACGAATAGCAGAAATTTTAAGTATTTTTTCTTTTTGCGAATGCGTTTAATACTACAAAAATTACTATAAAAAGTTGCACTATAAAAACTTATTTTATGCACAATTCTCTTAAATTAAAAATTTTGTCATTTTTTTTTTCACTTATCCTTCTAATCACTTATACATATGACACTAGTTTTCTATAAATAAAAACAATTGCAACATCCGCAGAGTTTTACGAATGTTAAATACCTTGAATCGAATAAGAAATTCTTGTTGTCTGGTAATATCGGTGGCTAAAATCAACGAACTGATGTGCCGTTGAAGTTCTGGTCTCACATTGGCTGGCAACTGATCGGAAACTCCACTCTCCAGAAGGCATCCTATCGCTGATCTCCAGTGATGATTCTCAAGAACTGACGTGTTCTGGAATCAACAAGTAAGTTGTTAACGATCGTTCCTCACGAGTTCTAACAGCTCGTATTAAATGTGCCGAAAATTGCGTCGACTTACTTGATAAAGAGCAGCCAAGTGATTGCTCGTGGCAACTAGAAATGGTTGATTAACGCCTGGATGATCCAGATCGTGCGTCACCGCGGCAATCAGCGATGCCATAATTTCCAAGTTGGTTAAGTGCGTCCTAATCTGTTTTACAACGTTGCACACTTCATTATACTTCATCCTCTCGAAGCTATACTCACTTACTCATAATGTACTTACTTTTTCCTCTTGCAAGAAGCAATGCATCGCCTGAGTTACGTCGGTCGCGTGTATACTGTTGTGGTAAGGATTTGTGCTGTGATAACCCTCCTCGATGAAGGCTGAATAGAAAAAAACCGAATATAATTAAATTCTGTTTACCATGTGTTTTCAGATGTCGCGTGGCAGTTTTGAGTAGAGGTTAGTTGATAGAGGTTAGTTGGTAGTTTGAATAATGTGATAATAAGAATAGTTTCTGACGCGGATTTAATGCGCAAGTATAGGGACCAGACTCGTAAGAATTGTATTAAAGATATTAATAAAAAAACTTTTTTTAAATATCACACATTATATAATATCAAGAATTCAGTATTATAATTATTTTTGTATTATTCTTGTGTTATTAATTCTTGAGCATATCCTAAAAGAATTTTAATATTATCATTATAACAGTGAATTTTATAAATGCATTATATCTCTGAACAACTATACAACGTATTATGTTAATAAAATGTCAAGTATATCGAGAGATTATATGTTTGTGATAATGGTAAACTTAATTATTATATATTTTTGAATTCCAATTTTTGGAAATAAAAATCCAATATTTTCACATTTTCACTTTAATGTTCTTTGATTACAAGAATTATTTAAACAAATTAATAATAAATAGTAAGAACAGTATAAATTTTATCTATATGAATTTAAAAACGTTGATCATAAGATTTATCTTTTTTTAGTGTTAAATATTAATATTTTTCTAATGCAAAATAGCAGTACATAATAGAAAATAATAGAAATAAAAACTTTATATGAAACTTTTTAAGCATCAAAGTATTTGTTCAAGATTATATTTTTTATTTTTTAAATAAATAACAAATGCTAAGCGAAGAAATTAATCAAGATACTAATTGTAAAAATAAGTACCTATATATATATATATTTCTATTTCTATGAAATTTCATATATTGATGATAATTTACACTAATCATCAAAATTTTATTAATAGTCGACAATAATGAAATTTTTATAACAAGAGAAAGATATTGTTCGAATCGTTGCTTAAATGATAAAAAAAAATTACCAATATTTTGTAAATAATTTATTGCAATCTTTCATTTAGAAATTTTTAAATTTTGACACGAAATTAATTTTTAATGAAAAGGAAAATAATATAATAAAATAAAATAATAAAAACAATAAAAAACTGAAAATGCAATCGAATCGAAAGTGAAAGATAAAAAAAAACAGATAAAGTATTGGAAAGATAACTGAACTAAAAGTTATATATATTTATTTTTAATTAATTTATATTAAGAAAGAACTGAAAATGTAATTAAATTATTTTATAAATAAATTTTTAGTATAATATTGTGAGAGACAAAAAATTGAACACAATTAGATTGGAAATTCTGCAGAAACCAAAGAAAACAGGTATGCAACAAAAATGTACATAACAATTTCAATTTCATAACAATGTTGATACGAATAGAAATACAGAACCACGAAAATTATTCCATCAAATATTTCAAATTTTCTGAATTTTTGATTTCATAAAATAACATTAAACAAATAACACCGTCGATTTCCATCATCCCTTCTAGCAAGCGAATTTACCATAATACTATTCTTACGTAGCCGAGTTTGTTTTACTTAACCGAGGTTTTAATATTCACGTATACCAATTCCTTCCAATTCCTTTTTTATAGATACAAATCCTGTTTGTATGGAAATCTCATACAGAATAAATAAATAATAAGCGTCGCGCATGGTCTATAAATACGAATACGTACGGCGTGGCGCGACGCGTAAAGAGGGCCGTTTCTCTTCACGAGACTCACTCTCCCCTTTTGAATATTTAATGGTGACGAATAGCTTCCGACCTGTATTCCAAGTGATGACGTAAAAATTTCGTGCAGAAACAGAGCAACGATCATTAATACGGGGGCAGACAAGGATTCTGCCTTTTGTGGAAACACAGTGTCAAAGAAACAGACGTGATACGCCAGTAAAAGTCACATGGAGGGAAAGAAATTGTGGAAAACGGTTGTTCGACTTCACAAATGCGCTAAGTAAATTTATACTATGCTATTAGCTTTTGCGGATGTGAAATCAATTTATATGCTACGTTGTCATTATTTTATTCAGTTGTTTACATGTATATTACTGTTGGGAAATATCCAGAGATACGTCGTTCGATTTTTGATAACAGGGAAATGTCATTGAAATGTCACATAAAATAACGACAAATTAATAATTAAAAGCAATTCTAATGGAATTCGTATAATTTTTTTTTCTTTATGGAGATATCAATAATATACAAAATTAAATACGTCTAGCAGTGTTAAATGTTATTGTTTTAATTATTTTTTTTTTATTAGTATAAAAAATCTTTTCATCTGATTCACAAGTTAAAAACTGAATAATCCATGAAGAAAGAATGTTCAATCATTTTATGATATGTAGATGCTAACTTATTTAATTGCAACAACAATGAGAAACAAAATTATCATCGATTTATAATTTTGATATTAAATTGTATTCCATCAAAATTAAACAAATATTTGAATGCCTTTGAATATCTACATGATTTCTGTGAATGCGATAAATATTTCTTGAAAATTTGATTTCTCCAAAAGCCGTATTGATTTTAGCTCTTTTGATTTATTTATATTATTTGCTTGATTTGAAATTGGACATTGATTTGACTGTGTATTCTGTAAAATTGGAAAATTTACAGAACGTAGAATTAATTAATTTGAAAGGTTCATTTGTCGATCATCATTATAAAAATAACATAAAAGAATAAATAAAGCAAAGATTTACAATTAGACCTTAAAACTGTGTTAAATGATTGAATGTAATATGATATAATGTAATGTATTGTTATTTGAAAATTGATATCTTAGGACTTATAATGATTTTTATAATATTGATATGAAAGAAATATCTATAGATATATAATGGAAGAAATATGTAACTGTAACATTGAAAAAATTTAGAAATGTACAAGACATTTTACAAACCGCTTTCTCTGAAGCTATTTGAAATTTGCAGAATAAAAATTGTGTAATTATGTAGAATAAAAAAAAAGATGTTTCAAATAAAAGCTAAATCTGACAACAAATTATTGGAATAATGGAAAATTAATATATTATTTCATTAAAAATAATAGAAAAGTCATTCCTAGATTCTACCTCTACAACTTATCTCTACAACTTCTTATAAGTAGTTGTACCTAAAATTTCAAGTTTAGTTTCAAAGAAAATAATGGCTTGTAACATTCTGTTTAGAAAACAGATATTATATTTATTATATAGTAATAGATATTATATTTATTACATAGTAATAACAGATACTGTATTGTTATTCAATAAAAAATGAAACATCAATGAATCATGTTCAAAACTTTATCGATACAAAACAAATTATCAAAAAAGTGTTTGTTCAAATAAAAATTTCGTTTCTAAGTATGCAAAATTGCAAAATATTCTTTCAGAACCATCTTCGAGAACCATTATACATTTTCGTTAAAAAAAATTTCTCAAAATTACATAACATTCGTTTTAAAAAACATTTTCAGTGGCATTTATCTTAATATTTTTAAACATTACTGTTTTTGTTTACATTAATTACATTTACATTTTTACTTATATATTTCCTTACCAAATAATTTCCACACTGTTACTACGTCCAGGTTGAAGTGTTGTAGAAGCCCATACCAATGAAAAAGATGGACGCACAGTACCGGTAGCGAACGTCCTAAAAATCAAACGTAATGTGATACTCGACAAGCATGGAATTTAAGTCGCAAGTCAAGGTGTTGTGTCGTCGAGTTAGAATAATAGTGAAATGAAACTACTTTAGACCCTGAGAAAAATGTCAAATGATGAGAAGAAATGGAGGAAAGAATAACAACCTTGTACACAATATGACTGACTCACAGTTCTAATAGTTATTATTTCTCATTTTGTATAATATTTAATTTGTTTATACATTTATATCATATTTAATTCTGCGTGTAATTTATTTGATTTTCATAGAACGATACATCGCTTCTGATTCGAACGATCATATTTATTTTGATTCTTAGGAAATAAGGACATATTTTCCGCAAATGTAAAGGAATAGCTAGATAACCAACAGTTATGAAATGAAATGGATCTAAAAGAGAAATTATTGATATATAAATATCAAATATATCGTATATAAAATATACGTCTTTCGTTGTCTTTGATAATAAACGTACCTAAATAAATCAAAGAAATAGTCAAAAAGTCAAAATATTTTGTTAGGTTGGTGAAATACGAAATGTTATTCCTTGAAAGTATATTTTGATAAATTGATAACATACAAAATTCTATCCTCAATTTAAATAGAAAAAATTTACCTTAATAAAAATATCATTAGAAGCATAAATTAGAAGCAGGAATAATCAGAATATTCATTAAGACATTAATAGTATCTAGCATTTGGGCAAGTTAAAAACATTCTTCATTTTATTTAGAGAATTTTGTAATATACCTATATTATAATACCTAAATTATAGTACCTAAATTATAAATAAAAGAATTTATAATTATAATATAATATAATACCTAAATTATTATATTCTATTATATATATAACATAATACCTAAATTATAAATAAAAGAATTTAATAAATAAATAAATAAATAAATAAATAAATTATAAATAAGAGAAACTATAAATGAAAACATTATAATAGATTCATTGAAAAAATTTTTGAATTTTTATAACTTATCTCTATTATTTATAATTTATCTTTTTTCTAAATCTGGAATAATGGAATTAGTTTATTACTAGGAAGCACATTTGATCACTATTGAAGTTACTTTGATTAAATATATGTAGGTACATTATAGGTAATATTTAAAAAAAAAAAATACATGAAACTACCATGAATAAAATTTATAATTAATTTTATATTATACAATATTCTCATATGTGAATTTTCTTCTCATTTATATTATATAAATATTTTCATAAATAAATAAATAAATGCTTTGTTTGAACTTGAGCTAAATAAATCAAATTGCAAGTTAATATTCGTGGGAAATTCTCGAGAATTTTGGAACTTGAAAAGGTGAAATACCTTTCAAGCAAGAATTCCGCTTTCCGTTTAAATACCATTCCTCTTTGCGTGTTTGCACGAATTTCTGGTATCGGAATGACAAATCGGTTCGTTTATTATCTAAAAGCAAAGATTTTTTTTCTAGAAGTTTTACTTCCTTTTTCAATTTTCTTAAGTATTGTTTTTCACACACGACGATGAATATTGAGATACCGTGAGCTCTGTTGAAAAATTCAATTTTGTGCATACGTTGAATTACATACACATTCGCAATTATTTATTGCAGTTTCTTAGTTGCTTGCTTTTATGATACATTCTCTGCGTTACAAAAACTTACTAAGTTTGTTGTGCTTTTAGTAGCGTATAGTAGCAGTCAGAAGTTTAAGATGACAGCCTTTTTGATAGAAGATATTTTAAACTGTTATAATAGATATTTTAAACACTGTTATAATTTTCTGAAGAAAAAATGTACAGTTACTCACGTTAATATTTGGATACTAGACATTTAAATCAATAAAAAAATTCATTAAAAAAGAATCATGTAACAATAATCCTAGGCTCATTTTAAAGCTTAAAATTTCTATTTTAAAAATGCATCATTCATTTTATTTTCAGATGTTTTTATATCATGACCAGCTAGGAAAGTGAAGACACTTTGTTTTTCGAAAATGCTACAAATTTTTCTAGTATGTGAAAACATTGATAAATTTTTTTCATGATTTAAAGTCCCTTTACAATGATTCTCTACATTTTATGATTTTTCTTTTTTTGTTTTTATTGGACTTTGAATATTGGAGTTAAACGATAAAAATTCAAAAAATTCAATAAAATTGGAGACCTTAATCTTTAAGATCATTGTAGAGACGTTTGAATATTTTTGTAGTTTTCGAGAAGAAAAATATTCTTATTTTCCCATCCACTACATGATCTGAGAACATCTTTAAAGGAACGAACACAGCACAAAGAAGACTAGGCTTTACATTTTAAAATCAGTTCAGCTAGATTGGTGTACTTTTTTTTTCTTTCAAGAGGTTGTAACAATTTAAAATATCATTTATCAAAATATTCATCATCTACTAAACTGTCTTAAGTTTTTGGCTGCTACTGAACATAGTTTCAAATTTAGAAAATCATTCTTTTCTTATATTGTTACATAAATAAGAAGTGTAAAACAATACATTCATTATTTTCTGTTTGTATTGCACTTTGACAAAATGAAGTTTTTAAATAAGTACTTTTCTCGCTGTTATATTTTAAGTAAGATATATAATGTAAAAGCTTAAAAAATATTACATTATTCGAGAAATATTAGAACATAGAAAAGAAAATCAGAAACAATATGTATTTTATTATTTTCTTCCATTTCTACTAGGTAATGCATATTAAATTTTAATTAGTTGAAATTGATTTATATTTTTATTCGTTTTATTAAGCTCGTTGATATTCTGCAAACATCTTATCTTAACGCCAATATAAACGTCCTTTAAATAATTAACATGGTGAATGCAATTTTCATTATCAGATAAAATATATCTTTCGATCTATTATTTGTTAAATCATTCGTGATATCGTCCCAAAAATTCAATTAAAACATCCAATTTTTACAAAGCATAAAATATATTAATGATTCGAAAGATCTAATAAAATATTTTCTTAGAATATAAATATTCTTACCTAATTTACTGCCTGATTCGAATTTTAATTTAATCTTTTGATCAGTTTTCATTTATTTTCAGATTATTTTTCACACATTCACGACATCGAGCTTTAACGAGCTGCAGTCGAGTCGAACTATTTTTCTTTTCTCTTCTTTTTTTAATTGCTTACCTCCCGTCACTGTTTCCAGCGTGAAAGCGTTGAATCTCCAATTTCCGGCTTTTTGTAACACACACTGCAACAAATCATCAATATCACAATAAATTAGCAGCGAAATAAACAGTTGTGACTTAAAATGGGTTGAAATGTGTTTCTGAACATAATGTCACTACAATGAAACAAACCTGTCCATTTATAATAAATCATCAAAGAGTTGGAGAGATTGGAAGTGGTTGGTTCTATTAGTCAAATTCCTTCCGTGTAATTTTCACGGATAAATAATACGCGATCATCGCGCAAATAGGAAACTTTACAGTAGGAGTATTTTAGTAAATTTGCAGTATTATGTTAGGAACTTTTGAATGCATTGGGTACGAAGGTTTTTAACACTAAACGTACCAAGCGGGGTCAAATGGCTTTTCCCTTTTCAAAATTTACTTTAAAATCGTACATTCGTTGTTATTTCTTTCGT